GTGCAGCGTGGAGAAGTCTCTGCAGCAGAGCAGGAGCTGTGCTGCCCAGCCTGCAGGGCCTGGGCTCTGCTTCCAGTCTCACTTCTTCCAGAGATCAGATCTTACTGCCACACGTTTAAAGACATCCCTACAGTCATCTTGCATGATGACACCATATATCTAAACATCAGAAAATGCTGCCCAACTTTCTTCTGCTGACCACATGCCCAACAGAGAAGGATAGTATCAGCAACAGGCAAACCAACAGCCAGAGTCCTTCCTCCCCTACCACATTGTACACCAAAGATCCAAAGTTCCAGACAACTGGAGGGAGGAACAAGTCAATGCATTCACTCACCACAAGGGATGTGCAGAAGGGAGGAAGCTAGCCAAGGAACCATGCCATGAGAGGTGGAACCAGCCAGACAAGGAGTCCAACCATGTAGAATTTTCCCAAAGCGAGATTCATGACTTTGTTTTGCCATCCTGGAAACTCCACTTCCTATGGAGAGTCAAGGAACCCTTTCAAAACCCAAACCCCTCAAACAGCACATCCACCACAGAAGCGAACCTCCCAAATGTACTGCAAGCAGAGTCAGTTCTTATAGAGGTGGCTTCTTGCCTCATCCCCAAGTTAATGTGGAAGGTGGGGGCACCTGGTGGTGATCTCCTAAGGTGATCTCCTAAGGTGATCTCCAAGGCTGGCCAGACCCTGGGTGAAAAGCAATCAGGAGGGTCTTTCTTACTTGGTTGTGGACATCGTCCATATGCCAACCCTCCTCCAGGGCTGGGGGTTTAACTCCAGCACTTCATTTGGCAAAGATACTTTTAGGAGACCTGAAATGAAAGACTTTTAGGCAGTGGGGCTCCAGTGCTTTTTATCAGTGTCACCCATAAGGAACATGCATGGGGCACTACTTAGAACTCAGCTTCTCTCCCTTTGGTAGATGAAGGGCATGACTTGGGTGACCAGTGCTGGGTTTTGAGTGGCTTGAGCTCTGGTAACACTAACTTCAGTCATTTATGGACAGATTGGGGTGGATGATCATGACCATCATGCCTTTATCCATGGGGCATTTCCTAGCCACTGTTCCATTCAAATGAAGCTTCCAGAAGGCAGATGTGTGTCTGTCAATCAGACACGTATCTATATGTCAGCTCAGGGTGTTTGGTAAAAGTCTTGCACGCCTGTAATGTGACACTCCTAGTCAATTTGATTTGTTACAGTGATGATTTTTTGGGCAGATGGACAGATTTGGTAATTCATCTAGATGCCATGAAACTTAAACCTGGGTATATTTGTGACAGGATGTTTCAGACAAATAAAATATATTTAATTTGTAGTTTCATAGCTGTAGGCCGTCTGGGATAAATCCTAAGGAGCTGTATGGTTCTTGTTGTGCTCCTTTTCTTGTTACATCTCCTGGTAGTGCTCTGAACTTGAGTTTACCCACTGCTGAGGATGCCTTGCTAACAAAACTGTGGAACAAGCAGAGATACAGACAGAGATCTCAAGAACAAACATCTCTTCTGAACTGTGGTTCACTAAAGAATATAACTTTTCAAGGAAACCTAGAGAAAGAACCCAAATTTTTTTCTGAGTCCTTTTTTCACTCCCTGGTCCTTCACCCCATTCCCAGGTCTGTGGGCATGTATCCCATGCTAAGTGTGGCATTTCAGAGCTGTTGCTTAACAGTCTGCCATTGATGCCTTGTGGGAATAGGAGTTGTCAGCTGTCCATCTTTTTCCATCCTTTCTCTCAGTGGCACCAAGTGGAACTGGATCCTTGGTGACTTACCTTGCTGGATAGAGATTTCATTGTCCCTCAAATGTTGAATGAAACAACTCACCCTACCTTCTCTAGTGTGCCTGACATGGCAAGCTGGGATGGGAAATGGGAGCAGAGGCCACTCCCAGGAACAAAATACAGTTCTCTGTAGCTGTTACCAGTGCCTTTGGACTAAGGTCTGATCTTGATGGCTATCAGTGCAAACTGTGCACATTTATGAGTGCATGAGACAGACAAAAGGGGATGTGAAATTCTTGTCTGTAGATACGCTCCATAGGAATGAGTGCACAATGCAGGGATATCTCATCTGGATGTAAACAAGAAGTGAGGCTGACTTCTCACCTATTTGTTAGTGACAGGCCGTGTTGAGCTCCTAGCTGTCACAGCTACACAGTTCTCAGCACCAGTTTCAAAATAACTTGGTTGCACCCATGTGAACCTCAGCCCTAGCCGTAACCACAAGGCTAGGACACGTTTAAACATCACAGTCACTGCAGAGCCCTGTGAAAAATGCTGTTTGTAACAAGCCAGTGAGAACGTGAGCACTCCAGCTTGTTATTTTTCCCTATGTAGAAGGAGCAGAGAGTTCATTTTTCAGATGATAGTCCTGCAATTGCAGGCAGGCATCCAATTAATAAGCTGGGCTTCTCCTAACACCTACTCTGTTGGTAGACAAAGCTTTGCATGTCCAAAAGTACTTCAGTTTTTTAATAACTGTTCTTCCAGTGATCTCTCTGGCTATCTCCAGATAATTTAAGCACTAAACCATGGGTTTCAAACTAGAGAGTGAGGACCTGGAAGAGGAACAGCCTAAGCAAATGAGCTGGCTAGCTTTTTGATAGTGTTTGAGAAGTTTCTGAGCGACTCTGTAGAACTGGACTATCTCTATTGGCAGAGGACCAACCTCCAAAGGTTTGGGAGTGCCTCTGGGGTGAGGCTAGTGACAGCCCTGCTGTCAGACATTACCATTCCCCCAGCAGCCAGTTCAGACAGATGAGGCACGGTTTGGTTTGTACAACCTCGCACTTCAGCTGCGTGATTTGTTTGTCCCTCTGTGTTGGACTCTGTCATATGCCATGCCCACCACTGCATCAATGGAAAATGCAAGAAATCCCTCATGAAGTAGAGTTTCCACCTCCTGTCTTCCCAAACAAATGCCTTTTCCTAACTCAGTGCTCTCCTTTGCAGGGATTTAAATTCAAGAAGTGTTCTGCTTGAAGTTTTGCAAGGGTTTGGCAAACACAAATGCCAAGATGTGCTGGCTGTTTTCAAATAGCACTTGGAATGAGCTGTGACCAAAACCAAACCCCCTCCTCTTCAGTGCAGTGCCTGGCCCTCTGTCTGTGTGCTCCCAGTCTCTCTAGCATGCATTTATAAAAGAGCCTGAGTGAGAGGACAAGCATTGGCCTTTTAGCAAAGCCCTGTAGTGGTTTCACACAAGAAAAAGAAGCTGAAAACAGTTGCTGTGTTTGTATAGACTGGCCACAGTTTTCAACTGCTGGGGGTTTCCAAAGCAAACGAAATATTACTCATCAGAGCAGGCTCCCTCCCCTACTTTCAGTTGTTGAAAATACTACAAAGTAAGATGGAAAGAAACATGTAATCCTTCATCATCACAGTAAGGATTTACTTGTTTATTTAGATTCCCTGTCTGTTCCAAATGTTCTGCCAGAGAAAGCCCATCCAGGCTCCTGGAGTGCTTGACACACATTAAAAAACCCCTAGACGTATATAGGAGATAAATCCAGCAGAAGACACTGGCTTTCCTCACAGCACACCAGTGCAGCAGTCAGCTGCAAGTCCCATTTGCACAATAAAATATCTTGGGATGCTTTTTGTAGGAAAAAGAAGGAAGAAGGCACATCACTCTGGACAAAAATAGATTTTGATGGTGAAAATTTATGGTGGGGCTGTCCTTGAGCCCCAGGTTCACCTCCTCTTCGTCTGACTGGAAAATGTTGCCGAAGCAGAAAACACGTAACTTGGTGCCTTTGTAGTCAGTGAGACAAGAGACTTGTGTTCAGAGGGGGAAGCCCTAGGAGTTGGAGATTACCCTCTTGAAGGGTGTCTCTCCTTGCAGACTTTACAGGAGTAGCCAAAAGAGAAGAGCCCAGACCTGAGCTTTGTTTTTAGCTTCTTAAAAGGTGGCAGCTGAATCCATCCCAGGTGGCACCGTGTGTTAGGAACACAACCCCTTTGCACTGAAACTACTCAGCAGCATTTGTAGCTGGTGTTTCTCATCCCAATCTTATTGCTGCACCAACAAACAGGAAGCAATCAGGAATAGGGGACCATAAACATGGCAATTGCATATAGCTGAGATGAGCAGACCTCTGGGTCATCCTAGGATGCGGTAGTAGAGTAAGAACAATTGTCCAGCAGATGTTTTCCATTTGGACCACCATGTAACCCAGTGGATTTGAAAATGACCTGTGAGGTACTCTTCTAGTGATGCTTTAGTGCAGCACCTTTGAAGCTGACTGCTCTTTCTTTTTTGGCTAAGAGCCACAGACCTAAGTGGACATCAAAAGCCAGTGTCCCCACTGGGGGCAATATTGCAATAAGCTGGTAACGGGTAGAATGGAAGGGGCAGTTTTCAGCCAATGACTCCTCCCTAAAAATCACTTCTATTAAAGTTATGGGATCTTGAATGCCCCTATAGATGGCTGAGATTTTACCCTTTAGGGTTTCATCTGAAAGAAGCCCATATAATGAGATCTATAAGACAACTCAATTTTTGAAAAGGCAAACCCAACCACTTCTGTGTTTTGTGGATGCAGTCCTTATTTCACATGTCGACATAAAGAGGAAACCCCCATCAAAATCTGGGGTTTCTGACGGGCTGCTAAGCTGAATAAAATCTAAAGTTTTCCAGAAGTGACACCCCTTGGCCTGGACTCCAGTTTTATACCAGAAATAGGGCAGCCTTCCATAAATTCAATGTAGCCTCAGTGGGTTGGACAGGTCTGTCAAAACAGCTCATAAAAGTAATTGTGTATCGCTAGTGTCATTACGATCTATAGTTTTGGGTCTCATCTGAATACAGAAGTGAAAGAAAGGATTTAAAAAAAAAAAAAAAAAAAGAAGTTATAGATAAAAAACAGAACTTCCAAAAAAAGCCTACTTTTGAATAGCTGAGAGGTGTTTTAAGGAACACCTGAATTAACCCTTGCTTGAATACGTTTGTAAAGCTCACCGGTTGCTATTTATTTCATTTCTGCTGTCCCCCCAGCTCATGTGCTCCTCAGTCCAGAAAGCCCTGTTTGAGGAGGAGGACAGAGTGAAGAAGCTGCAGCAGAAAGTGGCAACGCTCGAGAAGCGCAACAAGCAGCTGCGAGATCGGGTGAAGAAAGTCAAGAGGTCTCTCCGGCAAGCCAGGAAAAACACCAGGCACATGGAGCAGATGAACCGAAAGCTCAGTGAAAAACTTTCCTCTGCAGGTGGTCAAATCCCCTACATTAACTCTTTGAAGCAGGAGAACTCCCATGCTACCTACCTTAAAGTATAATGCAAGAGTAAGTTCTCAGGCCAATGATAATGGCGAATTTTGCCTGCATTAGGTCAGGATCTGGCCCTCACACCTTGTCTACACAGGGATTCAAACCTTGCATGGAAAATGAATCTGAACTGGCTTTAGACCCAGTGCTAGATTAAACAGGAACACAAACCGTGTTTGGCCGTGTGGGAGGCACAGCCCAAAGCCAAGTTCTCACTGTCCTTGGTAGACATGGGGCCAGACTGTAACCTGGGCTTCTCAGCCCTCACTCCCTCCCTCTCTGTGACCAGTTTTAGGTTATCTTTGATGAAAGTGCCAGTTCAACCCCATGGGCCACTGCAGGCACTTGACACAGGAGACCTTCTTGGGAAGATCTGGTTCCAACTTACCTTCTCCACATGGGCTGGGCCAGCAAGGCCAGGGAGATGTATGGAGATGGATGCTGTAGGAAGGATGCAGGCATGAATGCTCTTTGCTCTGCTATCACCTCCAAGCCTTCAATCTCCCTTAAGCTTGACTCTTTAGTCAAGTCTGCATCCACTGCCTGAGCAAAGTCTGCATCTGAGACACAGTCAGTATGGGCCCCTCTTCAAAATGAAGCATAGACGTGCTCAAATGGTCTTAAAACTGTTTTAAAACATCCTTAAATATTTTAAATAAAATAGATAATATTTTTTATTTTAGCAGGAAGTGCCTCGACGGTCTCAGTAGCTCCATCAGGTGCCTTTATCATTGCCCAGGCAACAGGATTCTAAACCATGTCATTTTGGGACTGTGTCTAGGAGCTAATCCACCTCTTGCAGTCAGGAGTGGACTTAGCCTGACCATTAACAGGTGCAGGATCAGGCTCAAGAGATGTTTTCAGATCCTATTTTCAAGCAGGTTGAATTTACAGTGTGGATAAGGCTTCGAGTTTTGTAATCACTGTTTGAGGTATACTGGAGGTTGCTGGGCAGCCTCATTTAGGTACACTTAGAAACTGTAGTGACCACATCAATATCAACAGGGCATTAAAAATTAAGGTAGTTTATATATGTATATATTTTAAAATCCTATAGAAAATATTTTTATTACACATTTGATATAGTCTAATTTCTTAAAATATGAAGTAAATCCCATTTCTTGGTTATCTTTTTTAAAAAGAAGTCTATCATGTCCTTTACTAGACCTTTAAAAGTGACTTCTGCTCAAGAAGCATAGGTTAAGGCATCAATATCTGTAGCTGATAATGTTTTCAGCAGTGTTACCGTACCTGAGCATGGTACATGACAACCTTCCTTCACAACAGAGCAACACAAGGAGAGAAAAGTTGAAGAGGAGCTTTTGTGGCTTTCTTCCCTTCTCAAAATAGTTTTTCTTACTCCAGGCATGAGACCCAAGTTCAGATATAGTTCATGCTTTTTGACAGGGGCAGCCAGCCCTTGCCCAGTCCCAGGCATCACTGACAGGCCTAACCCAAATTTGTATGAGGTGGACTCATCCAGATGATCTTTAACATAGAAGCAGGGCCCTCAGAAATAACAGGGTGCAAACCACTGCTCTGCTTCTAACCCTTGGCACTGCATGGTTTCCACGCTGTGTCTCAGCACCCACATTAGAGTGTATCCAGGCTACAGCCTTGCTGGACCACGCTTTAGCTCTCCCTGTGCTAGGAAAAGCCCATATTGGCTTTCAACCAGGAACTTCAGTCCAAGCTGAGCTCAGACGTTAAGCCTTGTGTTGGCTTCTAGGATGCTGCCGAGTTTAATTACCTTCCAATTTTGCTCCTTTTGGAAATAGAGCTTTTTTTTCCTTTTTTTTTTTTTCCCTCTTAAAATAATATTGGCATTTCTTAAGATTCTGACTCCTCCACAAGCTCCACTGGTTTCAAAGGCCTTGCCTACCGAATCAGCACAATTTGAGTTGTTTTGTGCTGCAGTCAGCAATGCTGTTTCCTGAGAATTACTGCAGACCTACGGCTTCCCTAGAAGTCATCAAGAGATTTTAACTCTAAAATTTAAATCCATAGGAAAGTAACTAATTCTTTTTGATTTGTTTCTTGTTTCTAAAGTGCTGTTTAAATAAATGAACTGTTTTTCCTGGTATAGGTATTAAAGGCTTGTGTTCTAGTTTTTTGTTAATAAAATATTCCCTCTGGTATTCATTCATGTTTTATAAATGTTTGTATAAATCTGAGAAAGTATAGTTAACATAGCTACCCCTTTGCTACTACAAATTTTCCAAACACAGTGTTGAAAATCTCTTTCTTTTGATTGATATTTTTGTCGCTTGATGAAAAGATTGGAATTTTCTCCCCATTTCCCCCTTCTCCTCTAGCTTAAACAAAAAAGTAAACCATTTTGTTCTCCTTGCCACTTTTGTGAGAATTTTTTTACTATGCAAAGAAAACAAAACCAAAATCTCTAAAATGCAAAGTCCACGTGCAACCCAAAATGTCCCCTCTGGGTACAAAAGAAAAAATGTTGTTTCATTTTGAGCTTTTTCCTTTCATTCCTTCTTGGTTTTGGATCATGTCCAGAGATAAGGACTAGCAGTCAGATCAGATCACAAGTTAACTATCTCAACGAGTAACAGAGGACGCCAAGCCCAAATAAAAATGCTATTAAAGTGTCACCATTGATTGCCTGGCCTTGCTGGTGACAGTATCCAGAGAGTAACCAGGGAGGCTGTACAGGCAGGAAACATGAGTGTGAAGAGGAATTTGGGCTATGTCCATTCCTGTTGGTATACATCACATAGGGCCTCACACAGATGATAATTTTTAGACTCACTGTATAGCTATTTCAGAGACCAGCTAACCTGGAAATCCACACAAAGGGCAAAATTTCATGCCATTTTCCAAATCAATGTGTGAGGCATTGAGTGTGTTCCTCTTGAAGAGCTACACAGGAGTGACTGGCATGCTGAAGTGCAGAGGAGGTTGGCATAGCTAGATGGGCTGGCAAGACATGCTAGAGAAACCCCAAAAATATCCTAAGAAAAAGAAAAAAAAAGGAGAAAAAAAGAAAAAGAAAGCAGAAGTGTTAAAATGAGGAAAGCAATTGGTTAGAAACAACACCAGTGTGGCAGCCCCCCATGAGAAGTTCAAAGATGAACAATGAAATAACATCTGCTTTCGCAAACGTATCAGGAGCTCCAAGGCTTCCAGAACATCTGCAGGGCCAGTGCCAGGGGTTCCCAGAGCAGATTAAGCAGAATTTGAGGCAAGGAAGGAGTTTTTGGCATCTGTGTTCACTGTGGGAGAGTTTAGGGATGCTCTCATGGCCAAATCAGTTTTTCCTGATGGATCCAGAAAATGATAAGAAGCAGCGAAGGAGCAAAATGAAGAGTAACAAATTGCAAGGACAGAGAGCAAATGGGTATGAAAAGTAACAAAGACTTCACTGGCTGATGCCAAGTGGGTGGGGGAAAAGAAAAACATTCCTATCTTTTTGTTTTCACATGAAATGAAATGCTCTGGGCTGGCATTAGCCAGCTAATGTTATTGTACACAATTAGTCAATTAGTCAATCAACTGGATCAATCTGGTATCATGATGATAGAGAGGCTACACCACATCATCCTAGGGAAACATTGGCTAATACATAGCTGTAATCAAAAAGGTGGGTGAAGTGGTAGAAATTGTTAGGAAAGGGCTGAAGACCATCATCATCACACTGCTAAGTACAAGGCATGCCCACTTCTGGGATGCAGTGTGCAATTACTCTCTAGAGCTACAGTACGCAGCTTGCTCCCTAGAACTCCTTGAAAGGAGGTAGTAGTCACCACCCCTGGAGGTGTTAAAAAAAAGTGTGGACAGGGTGCTTCAGGACATGGTTCAGTGGTCATGGCAGTCTTGGGTTGATGGTTGGACCTGATGACCTTAGAGGTCTTTTCCAACTTTAACGATTCTGTGATTCTATTCTATTCTGTCTCAAAAAAAAAAAAAAGTGTCTAGTAGGAAATGCATAGTGAGAGGCAAAAAGAAGAACCCAAAATCTAAAGTAGCTTCATATGACAAGCAATCATATTTTTCAGGACTTTTGAGCTGGAGAAGAGAGCAAAATGACAGAGGGAAACAGGAGAGGGGAGATCTTGGGCTTTGTCCTCTTTTCACCACCACCACTGCAAGTCTCTGTTCTATTTCAGTCACTGGTTAAACTTTTTCAAGGTTTGTGTGGCTCACCAGAGCTGAAGCGGATACTTCAGATGATGATTTGTACCCTAAAAGCACCTTCTGCCTGTAGACTTCAGAATAAGATTTTATGGATTTTTTTTTTTTTCATTTTTTAATGGATGCTTATAGAGCAAAGTGCATCAAATAAGCTGTATTATTTTCTCTTGAATCCCAGCACCATCCTAATTTAAAAATCCTACCTGGGTAGCTCAGGAAAAAATGTGTAGTAAAGAAGGATTTAGGGAGAGCAGACAATGTTAGCAGCTTTCTTTGCTCCTTAACAACAAAACCATTGAGAAGAGAATGAATTCCAAATGTTTGAACAATAATTTAGGGAAATAACCATGTTATTCTGTTTGGGTTTTAGCAGAAGAGGGTTTTTTTTTTGGAACAGGAGATCACATCAGTGTTCCAGAGCGGTATCAGTAAAGCCCATTTCTGACACAGAAAACTTCTTGCCAAGCTAGGTAATCTCTCATTAATGAGGCAAAGGAGCCCAGATTCATTTCTAAAAGTAGGGGAAAAAACATAAAGGGAAAACTGTGGAGAGCAGATAAAACTGACAAGGTAATTCATTCTTTCTTATAATAAATCCAAGTAATTGCAAGGAAATTTCATTTTCCTCCCCATTTAACCCCAATTATTTTCATTTAATCACAGAAACATTGCAGTTTCCCTCCAATCCAGACTGCTTTGCGTGTGAAACGCTGTTCCCAACATGCACTTGGGTTTAGGCATGTTCCTAATCCCCTAAAACAAATGGAGTGAGCAGGACAGCCTGTCCCAGCATATGTGACACTGCTGGAAGGGCTTGTTGGCTTCAGCTGCATAGCTATGCAGGAAACCAGGCCAAGCC